CTTGCTCGGGACTGTACTGTCTCTTATTAACCAAGCTGCGTTCGGTCTGTACTGTCAAGACCCCGGGCCAATATTCTCCCAGTACGGCCCTCGCGCTTAGTTAATAAGACATATTTACAGTAGTATTAAAACTGAATTAACAGTGATTCTTCAGAATTGCTCTTAACTCTGCATGAAATTAACAACTGTGTGGTTCAAGAGCAGTTGCACTTTCATGGGTTGGAATACAGTTTAGCACCCAGGGTTGTCATTAGAAAATGTAATAGGTATCTGAACTGAGTAGGCAGCTGAAGTAAATAGTCCTTTTTACAGTTGTGGGGTTGGTGACCAAGCCTTTGAACAGGAGTGAGGCTTAGGGTGACCTTGTTATGATAGAGATATTGCTGCTTTTCAAATGCAAAATACTTTGTTATTGTGCTAACTAGATACAGGTCTCTATCACAACAGGCTCACCCTTAGCCTCACTCCTGTTATATGGCTTGGCCACCAAGCCCACAACTGTAAAAAGGACTATTGTGCTTGCAGAGCAAGCACGGCGTGTTGCATAGCAACACGTCTCTCTTGGGTGTTTGTGTTTGTGACATGTTTTCCAGCATTCTGGGGCATATTCAAGTAGCATTTTTAGCCAGACATCGATGTTAAAATCAGTTCAAAAATATGTACAAACATGGACAGTTTCTTTCTGATGAAACGTTGGTGTTCTCAGTCACAATTTCTAGAAGCAATTAATGAATGAAGATTCATTTTCTTTATGAACTTCTTCCACAACGAAAATGCTTGAGCCTTCTATTCTCATAACGTCTTCTTTCATTGCGTTTTTGTCTTGTTTTGTTTTTGTTTCTGTTTTTTTTTTTGTCCATAATGAGAATCTGGTTTATAAATTTAGATTATCATGTTACAATTCAATTCCCCTTTTTTCGCTGTCAAAACCCCCGGATTCAAGCTCCAGGTCTAAATTTAAAATAAGGCTATGTTTTGTTTATCAAAGTATTTCCTCTTATCTCTAAACATCTGGAAATCACCCACTGAATGCACTGAGCTTTGTAAATCATGATGACATGAAACATTTGGCCTTTTTAAATAATGAAAAGTACTCGAAAAGGTCCATAAATTTTAAGAAAGTTAAATGGCAGGCATTTTAATTCAACTGATTTGGTGAACAATTGCTAACGTCGTCGGGAAATCTTAAAAAAAAAAAAACAATCTGGCGGCAACTTTGATGGCCATGTATGGTTGGAACAAAATTTACAATGATCAAAGAACTTTGTCGAAATCGTAAAACGAAATGACAAAATTTTCCTTAAATTTTTGTTGTGTAACTCTGTCAGATAACGTAAAACATGTCCTTTTCTGCGAGTCTAAAAAAGCAATTATGAAAGTCTAGCTGTCCCAAGCTCGAAAGAACATCTTTCTGTAATTATTTAGCATTAGAGCGGTACGTGTTTACGGCAAATCAAGGCGAATCTTCCTGCCTTTGTAATTCTCTAGAGTGGAATGGACACAACTGATTCAGCAAGGTGAAATAGATCTTGATAAACTTCCTTTTTCAACCCTCGATCTTAAAGCTCTTTTGAAAGTATGTGGTGGATCGGCAATAATTTGCCATTGTATTTAAATGAGATATATCTGTGTTTAACTTATTAAATGCTTCGGTGAGCTACGTAATTATGATATTTGACAGCAATCGAAACTCCTTCTTACCTTGGTGGCTCTTGTTTTCGCTAGATTTCGTCTTCTTTGATTGACTTGAAAAGTAATCTTGATGAGTCACTTTCTTTGCTGACCATCCATTTTTGACTTACGAAGCATCAACGCACGTGTGAATTGAGATGGTTTCATGCTTTGCGACGGTCACGCATTTCATGTTACTCATTAGTTAGCTGTACCACTGATGGTTTTTGTACAGTACTTCCTGTACAGGTTTTTGGGTTTTTCTGTCTTCCATAACATCAGAAGTATACAAGAGAATGATCACTAAACTAAGCCTCAGATTTACAAAAAGAAAGATTTCTCGGGAAGACAGATCTCAATATTACAAAAATTCTGCTTCACAAAGTAGCCGCAAAATGGTCTGACGGCCGGTGGATTTCCGCCACCTACCGGCTTCTAATGACAACCCTGAGCACCTATACTTTCTCAACTATAGTTTTGTTAATTTTTAAAAGAAAAGGATTTTTTGCTTAGATTGCACTGACAAGGAAAATGTTTTAAAAATCTAAATTAAGCTTCTTTAATTGGGCATCATTTTCTTTGCTCTCATGGCATTGATGGGGTGTTTATAAAGTGTGAGGAAAAATTAGGTTATTGGGGGTTAAAGGGCTATCAATGATGGGTATGAGTCAGAGTAATACAACACTTTCTTTTTTTCCTGACAGGCTGATGTAGGTAAGGCTACTTCACACCACTTTCCCGAACTCCCAATTGCTCATCCTGAACTGGGAATCTCTGAATTTCTGGTAATTAGTTTTCATATTTTTTTCAGTAAACCATACTTTTTTGTGATCAACAGACTGAGGAAACTCAAACATTTGATTTGTATTTTGTCCAATATAGGATGATTATCTGAGAACTTTTTTACATTTATTTAGTTGTGATAAGTGTGATTCTATGGTTTGTGGTTATGAATTAATCATAACATGTAATAGCATTTTAAACAATAATTAACTTAACTATGCACTTTAATAAAACACAGACTTTGATATTTAAAACCACTGACTTGTAGTTTTATTACATGGTACTGGAAATTATGATCATAACATGCAGCCTACATTTACAAGAGGAGAAAGAAACCAAATGGACCAAAATCTTCCAGATCAATCACAAATCAGAGATTTTTTGTTATGAATCTTAATTGCAAACTTTAAGCAATTCACTTGTCTTTTGTGAAGTCTACCACACTGTCTTTGGTGTTCACCTACAACTCCTTTGTTCAAAGGTCACTGATGAGCATATTGATATAATAACCAAATAGTTTCCTACTAAACTTTATTAACTCTGGAGATGCAAATTGATTTTGTTTAAAAAACAAATATTAAAAAATTGTGTGAGTTGAAAGTGTAGAAAGAATTAAGTCTTCTTTCTTGATTGACAGGCATCTAATGGACTTGTAAAACCAGGAAGAGAGTTAGAACATTATCCACACCATGATTGTGTGCCATCTGTTAGTCATGACAAGTGCTCTGTAGTCAAGACAGAATTTGCTGGAAGACCTTGTATATTGAAGGTAATCTGCACTCTTAACAACGGAAAGGGTAGCCCTAAGTGCATGGTCATTCAAAATTTTTGGTAGTCGCTCAGATGAAGAAGTTCTAATTTCCCTTTGGGTTTTGGAAGGAAAACTAATGATATGTCTTTGTTTGCTAGGAGCTTAGTGTTGATAGAGAAGTAGGGGACATAGAAATTCTGAAGAGAAATGCTGTTAACTTCAGCAGTGTAAAGAACCCTTACCTCATGCAGCTGGATGCTTTCTTTGTCAAGGTACATTGCAATACAGAGAATAGTCTTGATTCATTACCATAATTTCCTGGGAGATTCTTTGGTGGAATTTTGGAATGAGAACATTTAAGCTGCCTGAAGTACATGAAATAGTAGTGGACAGTTTTTTAGTAGTACTTCTTAGCTGGGTGTTTTCATTCCAGTGATAAACATCCTGGTTAGAACCAAACAAAATGCAAAAGTTACACTTTTACTTTAAATTCAGGGAAAATACATGCAGTGAAAAAAATTTGTTATGATGGTTTCTTAAACATATTCTTGAGGTAGTGACTGATTAAGAAGTATATTCCAGTTTTATATATAGAGATATATACATCTTAGTTTGGTTTTCCGAGTGACGTACCTTAGTTGTCAATGGAAACTTCAACTCTAGTTCTGATTACATCAATAATTATTGTTCACACAGCTACAATTATTATTCTAAGTGACACAGCTCTTTTAGAGTGCATTTTGATTGACTTTCTTCAGCTAAAACCAAACTCGTTATAGAAACCAGTCAGAGCTAAGAATAATATCACGAGGGGCCCGTTAAAACTTAAAGTTAAAACAAAGTGGCATTTGGTTTTATAGTCTTAANACTTTTATCTGTGTATCTTGCTGGCTTGACCAAAGAATTGCTCCATTCCTACATGTACTTTATTAAGAGTCATACCCTTCAAGGCATGGGTTGTGAAGGAGTTCCTTGATTTACTGATTGCATAATTTAATGAACAATAATTCTTTTTTTCAGCAATCTCGCCCCTCCCATGATATGAAACTCTTTGGAAATTTGATTGTTAAGGTTAGTTTAAAATGTTGTTAGTTCCTTACATTCTTCCTTAATCTCCTGACAATTACCTCAAATTTTTACCTCATTTTCTTGCATGCAACTCACACAGCAACTTTACTCTCTAAAAGTCATCAGAATTTTTTCTTCTTCTTTTACATTTTTTTTTTGTAAATAGAAACAAATCTACTGGCACTAGAATGGTAGTCAGTGTATATATTTGCAGATGAATAAAGGCTGATAATTTTGAAAGAAACTGTTTGGGGCTGCGTCGGTGGGAGTAACAAATTAATTTGGATATATCAGCAAAGTTGTAATGGTAAACTGGCCACCGTAACGATTACAAAAGCTGACGTTTTGAGTGTTAGCCCTTCGTCGGACGAAGGGCTAATGCTCGAAACGTCGGCTTTTGTAATCATTACGGTGGCCAATTTACCATTTCAACTTTGTTGATATATCCAAATTATATATTTGCAGCCTCTAAGTCAACCCTGCAGTGACCACTCCACCTGTCTCTTCAAAGTTCTGAGTATCAAATCTCTGCACCATCTGCTAGCCTTTTCTTCTAATTTTATCTTTATGATACATGTTTTCCTTAAAAAAATATTCCCCAGTTGTAGATATATTTTTTATCTCCCTCTCATTTGAAAACATTATTAATAGATATAGTGAYGYYYAWTTRCRRCRT